GAACATACTAATCAACCCTAAAACCAGCCAGAATACAAAATACCTGTTTTTTTCAAAACATTTCTCCATTCCTTGAGTTAGATATGGGAGAAGTGTTCAGAGAAAAAAAAAGAAAGAGAAAGAAAAAAAATTACTGCTAGCAAATTTTAACAAACAATCACCACCAACAACAAAACCGAATGTTGAAAGCAAAATAGTTTCAAAGCAAACAAACAAAATAGATACCTAAAACAACCACTTCAAAAGCAAACCAAAAATAATAAAGGCATCTAATAAAGAGGATCCTTAACCAGCTCAGAATAAACAAATGGACCGTCAACCAAACCAAGGGAGGTCCGAGAGCCCCAGAAAGAACTCACCATGATCCATCCAAGGAGACCCCATCAGATGGCTGGACTCAGTGGATCCATGCCAGTACCTGCTCCATCCAGGTGACTCCTCTGATGAAAAGCAGATAATTCTTGGGGCCCCACATTGTTGGGTGCCATAAACTGTTAACGCAAAAGCTTAACTCTTACCTCAAAGGGGATAAGAGATAGTTTATTTTGGAGCCAAACATGAGTGACCATGGTCCGGGAACACAGATTCAGGTTATCTCAAATTCCATGTTCCAGCGTGGTAATAGTTGCCTTACATTTTTATAGTAACAGAACAAAGAAAAGTCATAAATTAAGACACTTTTCAAATACACTGGTGGATACATTCAGTAGGTGGGTCGCAGCAAAGTGGGAGGGTTCTTACTATAGGTCTCAGATGTTATCTGATGACATTCTTAGCTTTTGGATTGGTGAGACCTGGTGATCTGCTGTTAATACATTCTAAAAGATTTTTATCTGTTAGTCACAGGATGTTCGATCAGAAACAGAGGTGGGTAAGGAGTGGCTGTTTAAAGGGCTAAAGATGGCCCCAGATAAATGGTAATCAGACTCTGGACCTGCACCATTCCAAACTCTCCACAGTTTCCAGAGTGATAATCAGTTGGTTAGCCTTGTGGGGAGTTCAGTCCATGGTGCAGGAATTCTTTGGGGGGGGGAACTTTTCTTTCACAATGTGTATGAGTGTTTTGCCTGCGTGTAAGTGTACCCGTGTCATGCAGTCCCCATGGAGGCCAGAAGAGGGCATCAGATTCCCTGGAACTGGAGCTAGACAGTTGTTAGCCACCCTGTGGGTATTGGGAACCAAACCTGATCCTCTGCAAAAACAGCCAGTACTCTTATATGCTGTGCCATCTCTCTAGCTCCTTAATATTTTTGTACCTTCTGTTGAGGTGGTCCCTATAAATGGGAGGAACCATCATGTCAGACACCACTGAGTCTGGATATCCATGTTGGGTCTGTTGTACTTATGGTGGCAGAACCGGTCTCTGTGGAACACAAAAGAAGATGCTCCTGAATATTGCCAGCTTTTGCCTAGCCATAAACCTGGTCTCTAAAGTCATTGATCTAAACATTTAAATTGTATATGTATGCATGTATACAAGTGCACCATGTATGTACAGTATCTGCAGAGGTCAGAAGAGAGTGTTGGATCCCCAGGAAATGGAGTTAAGGGTGGTTTTTAGCTGTCATGTGGGTGCTGGGAGCCAAACCCAGGTCCTCTGCAAGAGCAGCCAGTGATTTTAACCTCTGAGCCACATCTCCAGCTCCTAAAATCACTGATCTTGATGCTTTCTTCATCATCTAGCAGGATGTTCAGTTCAGATCTCTATGTTCAATGTCCTTTTTTTGTGGCAGTAGCACATGGGCAGGCTTCCACCTTCTGCAGCAGCTCACCGGCAGGGAACACAGCTGTAGCTCTCTACCACTTTTGAGTCACATTTGCAGGAAGATGTGAAGGGCACATTTCCTTTCATTGTCATTTTCTGGGCTTTTAAAGCCATTCACCTCAGGGACTGGGAGGGAAATGTATCTGCAATTTATGTTACTGGGTAACAGAGAGGATGTTTCTAGTGAGGCCCCTTCCTGCTTTGCAGACTGCCTTTTTTCTGGGTACTCACATGGTGGGGCACTTCTTCATAGTCCTCCTATGCCCATGGTGAGCATCCTACCTTCACAACCTCATCTATTTCTACCTATCAGAGGATTGTTTCCAATAACCATCTCACAGGGGTCAGAGCTTGTTAGGATTTTTCCTGGAGAGACATAACAGTCATACATCTTCTCACCCCAGATAGGGAACAACCAACCAAAGTAATGATTGCACCAAAGTCCAACTTGGCAAATCAATGAGTTTTTAAAAAATCAGTTTTAGTAACAGGAATATGGGCAAGGGATTACTTATAGGAACAGGAAGGACTCAAAAGCTGCTGCATCACCAAAAAGCCCACCCTAACACGGGTGATGACTCATGGAAGCTGAATCCCTGGGCTTGTCTGCGTGACTTGCAGGCAGCTCAACAGGTCAAGGATCTCTTGGCAGCTCAGCTATTCAGAGTCTCTTCTCTAACAGCTGTTTTCTGCCTCTGTAACCCCGGGGAGGGCTATAACCCTTATGAATCTAGAAAGTTTCACCTTTCCCAGACAGGTGAAATTTGTTTACTTCCTGGGTCTCATAAGCCTCCTCCCCCTTGAAAGGAATGTTTTAGTTCTGAGGAAATTGATGTATAATAAGGCTTAAACATATTTAGGGAACACAGGAATATGCAGTATTCCACATAGATGATTCCATAGATGCATTTATCCAATGATGAATCCTTTCTCATCAGTGATGCTGTAGCTATGTGAGACACTTGAATGTTCCTGTCACCACTTAACCCAACTCTCAAGAAGAGGGGCCAGGGAAGACTAGGTTAGAAGGAAAGTTTAGGTGAGTAAGTGGTAAGTAGGCTGAGAGTGTGGCTCAGTGTGTGTGTAGTGCATGCTAGGCATCTGGCTTTGAGTTCAAGCCTCAGCAATGCAGAAGAAGAAGAAGAAGAAGAAAGAAGAAGAAGAAGAAGAAGAAAGAAGAAGAAGAAGAAGAAGAAGAAGAATAGCAGAAGACACCCAAAGTCAATCTCTGGCCTCCGCATACACACAGAACACACATACCCACATGCACATGAGTAAATAGACACAAAACATGGAAGAAGAAGAAGAAGAAGAAGAAGAAGAAGAAGAAGAAGAAGAAGAAGAAGAAGAAGGAGAAGAAGAAGAAGAAGAAGAAGAAGAAGAAGAAGAAGAAGAAGAAGAAGAAGAAGAAGAAGAAGGAGAAGAAGGAGAAGAATGTGGCTAGACTTAGCAAATCTGTGAGTGTATGTCTGCAGCTGGAGTGAGGAGTCTTGGAGGCTGAGGCAGGAATGGAATGCCCCTTGCCTTCAGCTGCTGGAGGCTGGCTCAAACAAGGTCTCTGCCGAGGGCAGAAGCTTCAGGGGTAAGGAGTCTCCAACAAGGCAGTCTTCTCTAATGAGCTGGCTTGAGCTGGACCTTGGAGTCTCCAGGCTTCCTCTCTGAAGAGAACAGGGGCATCTGGGACAGGGGTCCTGAGGGAGGCTGGGAGTGGGGCTCGGAAGTCTTCCTTCTTTTCTTTCTCCATCAGCTCCTGGAGTGCAGAGAAGCCTGAATTTATAGGGTGGCAATTGGGTTCAGATTGGCTGAATGTGGGAATGTAAATGAGGTGAAAAAAAAAATGAGACCCATCAGGGAAGAGCTATCAAACTTGGTGGGAGAGAATCCTGAGCAGATAAAAGTTCCTATCAGGTCCCAGGTCTCTACCTCTGAGGACACTTATTTAAAAGTTTTCTCCAGGCTGGAGAAATGGCTCAGCAGTTAAGAGTGCTTCCTGCTCTTCTTCTAAGAGGACCTGAGTTCAGTTACCAGACCCCATGTTCAGAGGTTCACACCACGTTTAACTTCAGTTCCCTGAGATCCAACACCTTCTTGACTTCATAGGCACCTGCAATCATGTGCACATACTAACATACAGATATACACATATATACACATAATTTTAAAAATATTCCAGGAGCCGGGCATGGTGGTGCATGCCTGTTGTTCCAGCACTTGGGAGGCAGAGGCAGGCGGATCGTTGTTGGGAGTTCAAGGCCTGCCTGGTCTACATAGTGAGTTCCAGGCCAGCTGGGGCTACAGGGAGACCCTGTCTCAAAAAGACAAAAAAATAAATAAATAAATAAAAATTCCAGGTATTCCTGATTGTTATGGCAATGTCTGCAGGTCTGCTGCTGCTACCTTGTTTCTTTTAGCAGGAAGATTTCTCTCAGCTGGGGTTTCTTTCTTTTTTGGCTGATACTGTGTTTGGCTTGCTGTGGCTCCTCTACCCTTGAGGCTTGAGTGGGGGGGCTGTCAGACGCTCCTATGGGGGTTGTGCACCTACCTCGAACACCCCCAGTGCTCTTACACGTGTTACAGCCACTGTCCATCTGCAGCCCTGCTTCCCCAGCACCTGGTAGGCAGTATTCTACAGTCTGTTTCTACACAGGTGACTGTTCGGATCAAATCATACTGTATCCTTTTGTGCCCGGATTCTATATTGAAGTTGTAAAGTAGGTTGACAGCTAAGTGCCTTTACCCTCAGAGGTAAACACAGTAAATACAGGATTTGGTGATAACATTAAACCAATTGAATATGTGTGGCTGGAGGGACAGGGGGCGTTTGAGGGACTTTCACTTGATGACCTGTAGTAGGGCACATATGGGGTGAAGCCTTCCTGGGGCGCTGAATAGAAGAAATCTGAGCCTTGCAGACCTGGGAGGCTCAGAAGGTAGAACGATTCCTGGTCTAAGGGAGGCTTACCCTTAGCAGCATTCAGGGAGGCGGAAGTTGGAGAGCCAACGAAAACTAGAAGGGCGCTAGGACCCGGTGGTGCGGGCCTAGCGGAAGGGCGAGGAGGCTGGGAAGACGCCGGGGCGGAGAGTCTGGCTGTTCCGGGCTAGGGACGCAGGTGAGGCTACAGTGCTTCCGGACTGGCGTGCGGGGAGCTGATCTTGGTTGCCTAGGGCTGCGGGCGGCGAGCGGGAGGCCGGGAGGAGATCGGACCGGTGGGAGGCGAGTGGCGGCTAGGGCTCAGGACCCTGGGCGGGGAGGCCAGGCCGCGGGCAACCGGAGGGAACGGACCCTGCGGGGCTCCCGCTCCCCGGACGCTGCGGTCGTCTACTCTGCTACCTATGCGAGCCTCCCGCCTTTGGAACTGCCCCAAGCCGCCCTGGCCCCTCCCAGGTCCTGCAGCTGAGGCCCGCAGGGAGCAGGCCACAGGTAGTGCTGAGAGATTTTTCCAGACCTTCCTGACCCCAGAAGTGTTCTTCAGTAAACACTGCATTGGTAACTGGATTAGAGGTTGATTTTTTGAGCCTGACTTGGCTTCCTCATGTTGTATCCTACTCATCTGCATTGTGATTAGGGTCTACACTTAGAAGTACAGTAGATATTTAAAGCAGATTGAGTAGACCACTCACTACCTGTAGTCACTGCCATAATTCTCCAGTGGAACTGCTCCTTCCTTGATTAGGGAATTTGTGCCTGTCCTACCCTCAGACACATGTCCGTGGACAGTCACACACACCCAGTTGCAGCAACTGTGACAAAGTTCATCTTAGGAAGTGACAGAAAGAACTTTCTCTTTTCCCCTTCTGATCTTAGAGATGAGAGACATCAGGCTTGGACTTAAGGTCATTGTGGTAGTAAATCAATATAGGGGTAAGGAGAAATCCTTGAAAGTGTCTGGATTCAGAGGTTTGAGTTCCTGAAATGATTGTGGAACAACCCTCCCCATCTTGGTGATAAACAGAGGTGTGACTGGATGCTGACCTAGATGAGTGCTCAAGGCAGCTCAGATCTGACTGGGAAGCTCTGGATGTCCTGGAAGCTAGAGTGGGAAGGAGGAGTCATGGCAAGAAAAAGTTGAAGAGCAGAAGGATCATCTCAGATCTGACAAATCCTGGCCTAGGGATGTGGAAGAGAGCCAGTAACATAGTAGAAAGAGCTCAAGAAACCAGCAGGAGAAGTCAAGATTAGGCTTAAGCCTGGTGACGATGTTTGATGTAGGATACAGTATGGATAATAAGTATATTTTTTTACTGGGACCAACAACTGAGAGAGCACTGCTAATTCTCAATTTGAAGAATGGAAGATGGAAGGAATCAGATTAAGAGAAGACAGGCAGTTTACAGAAGGTCCCATCACAGTGCTTTAAGACCCAATAAGCTTTCTAGTCTTCCCTACCACACCTAACCCAGATGCACTCACACCTCCCTTGCAACCAAGAGCTCCAATATGATGAAGAGGAGAGAGGGGCATGGTGCCAGGTCTGATGAACACCTTCCTCACCATCTTCCATTGAGTGGCTGGGATTGCACCTAATTATAAGGGCCTGGTGCCTTAGTAATCTGTGTGGTGCATTTCTTTTCTTTCAGATCAGTGATGTCAGCAGTGTGATTCCTGCTTTAGTGGCACCAGGGAACCGAGTGAATTAAAACCCAACATAAACAGACTGTTCTGGTCCTGTGATTTGGAGGTACATTTTTCCTTCCTATCTTCCACTTGTGCTCACACATCTTCTGGGCCTCTTGGTGGTGGCCTGGGTGAACAAAGCCTAGATGTTCCTCTTCTGGAGGCACTGGTCACTGTCTCATCTGTCTCAGGAATAGCTTGTAAGGTCCTTAGATACCCAAGTGTCCATGTTCACTCTGCTTTTTCAGGTCTGGGACCACTCATGGGTAGATCTAGGTGATGCTATCCATCCTCTGCTTCTTCCGTCTTTTGTACTCTGCAGCCATTGTTTCTTTGGTGATTTTCCAAACTTGGGAGGCTGAACTGAACTAATGTGTGGGTAGGACGCTTAGCAGGGTGCTCAGTACTGGGGGGAGGGGGACAATATGTCTTAGTTCTTCTGAACTCTAATCTGCCAGTTACGAATTCCTGCTATTGCCTTCTCTGTTTCTATCTACTCAGTAGGCCTCTGTAGAGTTCTGGCTCTTGCAGAACCCTGGCTTCCCTCCCAGGATTTTCAGCCTCCCATGATCCTTATACATACTAAAGCTGTGCAGAAATAGGGTCCTAGTGTCCCCTGTCCTGAGATAATGTCTCATGTAGCCTGGGCTGAGCTTGCATATATCCGAAGATAGCCTTGACCACAGTTCCTGCCAGTACTTCCCAACCCCTTTCCAGGTGTATACCATCATGACTACCTTGCCTTGTGACAGGTGGGGAGAAGGGAAGGAGTGTGGAGCAATATTCCTGATGTGTTGGTTCCCACCCACAGGCACTATGACACCCGTGAGGACCCAGCACTCCTTGGTAGGTCAGCCATATGCAGTGCCTCTAATACAGCCTGACCTGCGGCGAGAAGAAGCAATCCAGCAAGTGGCAGATGCCCTGCAGTATCTACAGAACATCTCTGGAGACATCTTCAGGAGGTGGGAGCTGCTACTTAGCTGATATGGTAGAGGGCCACTCCTGTCCTAGGCAGGTATCTCTGCAGTCCCAGGAATGCATCTTCTGGGACATCTTTTTAATATGCAGGAAGGGTACAAGGGAGAAGCACAGCTTGGAAACTTTCTTTTTCTTTTTTTGCAGTCACAGCACACAGCTAAGGTTTATTAAATTAAAAGTGACACATTACAGCACAAAACCAGACTCCCTGCAAGGGGAGGGAGACCAGAGCTGGCACACCTGGAAACTTTTTCTTATAAATACCAGAAGGCTTATAACCTACGTACTGTCACATATAGTCCTTGGGCTTTCTATGGTGCCACAGATCCCACTGGTGGCTCATTGCTTCTTCCCACCAGAGCCTGTTCCTTCCTAGACTGTTGTGATCAGCACTGACTCGGTACCTGGGTGCACAGGGTCCTGTGCTCAGCTCTAGCTGTAGAACTGAGTATGCCAGTGTTCCCTTTCAACGAGAGCATAAACTGTGCCTGGAAAGACAGATCTACTGTCATGCCTTGCTTAACTCTAGCTATGGTCTAAGAGATGAGTTGCTAGACGGTTTTATACTTGTGTAGACATGCTAGTGTACTACATAAATGCAGATAGTTTAGTCATCCATGCAGGTGGCCTCTTGATATAATCAGGACAGATAGTAAAAGAGAGGTGAATGGAGTTGCTGCCAGCATGACCCAGTAGATAATAGGCTTCTGTGAGTAGATAGAATCTACTTTGGAATAACAAGAGCAAGTAAAGATGTAAACCAGTTAGAGTCATTTATTATCATTACCAAGTGTATTATACTGTGCATAATTGTATGCACGGTGCTTTATATTACTGGCTGAGCAAGAAGTTTGTTTTCATCAGCATCTCTTCAAACCCAGGATCAGTAAGCTGCATTATGGCAATATTACCATGGTTACAGCATCATTAGGGGATGGGAGGTTTTCTACTCCACTGTAACGTTACAGGCACACCTTTATGTCTATGGTCCTTCATTGGGTAAAACTCCATGAGGAATGTAATTAATTGTGTGAGTTGTAAATCACAGTTGTGATAAGATGTAGCATTTTTGGTAATCTTTATATAGCATTAACCATCATGGATATAGGTGCCTTAATTCTTTTAGTCCTTGAGACATTTTATCAGGAGGTACTCTTATCCACCCTCCTTTTATTCAGAGGGAGAGATACGGTCTCATTGACTCAGATAGATGTTGAACTTGCTGTGTTATCAGAGGATGACCTTAAACTCCACATCCTCCTGCATACAATTCCCAAATGCTGGAATTACAGCTGTCCATCCTCATGCCCGTTATCGTTATCTTTTTTTCTTTTTTCTTTTTTGGTGTTTTTGAGACAGGATCTCCTGGTAGCCCCAGCTGTCCTGGAACTCACTATGTAGACCAGGCTGGGCTTGAACTCACAACAAAGATCCGCCTGCCTCTGCCTCCCAAGTTCTGGAATTAAAGGGATGCACCACCATGCCCGGCTCGTTATCTTCTTTTATAGACAGACCCAGGCAAAAAAAGACCAAGAGGGAACAAGATCTCTCAATATTAGGTACTTACTGCCAAGCCTGACCACCAGAGTTCCATCCCTGGGACCCTTGTGGAAGAAGAGAACAGACTCCTGAAAATTGTCCTCTGACTACTATACAAATGCCATGGAATACACATCCCCATCCCCCACAAACACACAATAAATAAATGTTTTTTTAGAAAAGGCCAAAAGACTTGACCAGATGACAAAGACAGGGTTCAAACCCAGGAAGTGTGGCTTCAGATTCTGTGGGAATATTACCATCTCTGTGAGTGGGGGATGAAGTGCTATAGACTTATGGGAGTCCTGGCTTGATCTTGAGGAATTGGGAAGGTATGTGAAAAGTGACATTTTATGGTAAAATCAGGGAGGCAAGGGGATAGGGTATGCTGGATAGCTTTAGTGTCAACTTGACAAGTCTGGGTTGAGGGAGCCTCATTTGGGGAATTGCCTCCATAGGACTGGCCTGTGGCCTTGTCTGTGGGACATCTTCTTGATTGTTGTGTGATGTGGGAGGGCCCAGCCCACTGTGGGTGTGCTACCCCTGGGCAGGTGGCCCTGTGTTGCATAAGAAAGGAGGCTGAGCAGGGGCCTGGAGAGCAAGCCAGTAAGCAGCATTCCTCCATGGCCTGTGCTCCAGCTTCTGCCTCCTGGTTCCCTCCTTGAGTTCCTACCTTGGGCTCCCTGATGAACTGTGACCTGGGAGATGTAATATAAAATAAACCCTTTCCTTCCCAAGTTGGTATTGGTCAGAGTATTTTGTCACAGCAGTGGAGAAACAAACTAAGACATAGGGCAAGAGGAAAAGCATTGCTCAAAGAATGGAGGGCATGAGGCTGGAGAGATGGCTCAGCAGTTAAGAACACTGACTGCTCTTGCAGAGGACCCAGGTTCAGTTCCCAGCACCCACATGATGGCTAACAAACATCTGTGAATCCAGTTCCAGGGGATCCTATGCCCTTCTGGCCTCAGAGGGCATTGCATGCATAGGTGAACTTACAGGCAGGCAAAACATTCATATACATAAAATAAAAGTAAATAATTAAAAAGAAAGGAGGGTTGGGGTTGGAGAGATGGCTCAGTGGTTAAGAACACTGACTGTTCTTGCAGAAGACTGGGGTTTGAATCCCAGCACCCACATGGCAGCTAACAACTGTCCGTAACTCCAGTTCCAGGGGATCCGACAGCCTCTTCTGTCCTCCTCGGGCATTGCACGACACAGGTGCACTTACCTACATTGCAGGCAATACACACAAACACATAAAATAAAAATAATAAAATATTTAAAAAAAAAAAGC